CCTAGTTTCCTAGATGAGAATTTAGCAGTGTCCTAAATCTGAATCTGTGTTAATCAAGTAGCCTCACTGAAATACAGCAAGCTACCTCTGTGCTTGTAGCCTCCCATAGTATGTTAGATGGCTATTCCAAATTATTGATTCAATGTTTCTCAAAACTGGGAAGATCAAGGGTAGAAAAGGGAAGAGGGTGTTACTGGATGTGAAGGAATACATACAATCAAAGTGGCAAAGTATGTGAGAGTACATTGCTGATTGGCATGTCCACAACTAGTCTCAGAGATGCCAGCAATCCACTGGGATTATGTATGAAAGGTGTAGAAGGAGTCAGTAATGTCTGCAAGGGTTTGGAGCTTGTTGCATCTAGTAGGAAGATTATGGTAGTGTAAAGGACCTGGGTACCTGCCGGAAACGGGAAGAGCTTGCTGAGTCTCAACCTTTCTTCTGAAACTGAAGGTTCATTTTCATGCCCATAATTAAATGCAGGAACAAAACAGCAGATATTGCTACTTGTACCAGTTTGTTGTACATGCTTCATAGCCCAACTTATGGATGCAGAATGATCAGTGGATGCTCCCACAGCTTTTCATGATCACCCATAGTTTAAAAAATCAGCAAGGTATGCAGTGGCTGAAACTGTGATAGGCTAGTGATAGAGAGATAGGCTTTGAGTATAGAGAGAAGGTAAATCCATCCAACATATTGTTTGCTTTTAATTATAAGCTCAGATCAATTTAACAGACATAATGTAGGTCTCTTCTAGTTTATAATCAGTTGGAGATATGATAAAATAGCAGACCAATGTATGATGGGACTATAATATTTGACTGAATATTTCCATTACACTTGTGCAAGTAAAAAAAAATTAATTTAAAGGTGACATTTTCTTTTCCATTTGATAATTTGTTATCTTTCAGTGGTTGAAGATCTATACTTACCTTTTCCATGGGGGAGTGTCACAGGCCAGCTGGGTACTGTGAGTGTATCAATTTAGTTGCAGGCTGACTGAGTGCTACAACTGTATCAACCACTGTGCTGTTTGGTTCAGGATTGAGGAGATGGAGTTGGGAGTGAAGCAAAGATAAGTTTCACTTATAACAGTAAAAATGAATTTTACTTATAACAGCAAAAAATATAGTTTACACATATAACAGTTAGTAAAAAGGTTAAGCTAATAGACAACATAACGATAAAAGTTAATAATTGACAGTGATAATAAAAACAGACAGACAAATTAACAAACAGTTCCCACTTGTTTAGCAACTTATCGATAGTCCCTCAGTGTCAGGTACACGTCAAGTTGATTCAGCGAAGTCAGGCGTCCCCAATCCATGCTGTCGGAGGGAAATACCGGGGAAAATCCCTCAGTCAGGATCTGGTCCTCGCTCACACTGAGAGTAAGGGATCCGGGGGCATGGGACAGCAATGACCCTTCTGTTCCGTCCTTCCTGCTGGTCACTTAACGTGCGTGTTCTTTTATATCCTGTTCTGTGCTAATTTGTTGGCTTTAGAGCCACTCACAATCTTACCCTATAGCTGTTACCCTATGGGGTTAAAAGGTGTTAGAAATTATTATAATAGGCTACTGCCCAAGCTTGGGTTTACCCAATAAGCAAATTATACCACATCACTTTGGGGTCTGAGATTAGCATTTTTCCCACCCAAATCCATCCTACTTAAAAAAATGTTAAGATGTGTTAATTATGCCTTGTGTTTAGGTTTGTTAATCTTATTGACCTTTAAGCAAAAATTTATTAAATCAGCTAAGTCTGCAGTTTTCTTTTTTTAGTTCTGCTTTTTTTTTTAAACTTATGGCAGTTTTATAATCAGTACAAACAGTTAAATATAACGTTATGGGTTATACTCCAGACAAGCAGGAAGCATCTGCAGAAACCAGTTCCATAAGCTTTATTTTAGCCAATATTTATTATGTGTCTTTATCAGATACTCTCAAAAAGCAGATTTCTTTTTTGCTATAAGTTGCTCATTAATCCTTTTGGTTTTGGCCATTACAGGGGAGCCAACTTTTTTAGCAGGTGCTCCATAAATTAGCCACACACCTTCTCCAAGTGTAGCTATGATTCCCTTCCTCTGCCTGATATGCCCTTCTGCTTTCTGCTTCTTGCCCTGTGCTCCCTGCCTAACCTGCTCTCTGCTCCTTGCTCCCCACCCTATCTGCAGCTGTGCTACCCTGTTTACTCCCCAATCTGCTACATGACATGCACACATACCACAGATTGGCCAACTCTGCCATAAAGAAAGTGTATTAATCCAAAAGAAATGACAGAGCATTTTGGCATCTGGTCATTATTCATTAAGTTATGTATTAAGCCAGTAGGGGAACTATTAAACTAGCCAGCTTTAATGCCTATTAATCCCTATTGATTGATAAGAATCTATAATGCTCTGCTCTTCTTATGAGAGATTATAATTAGGACACAGTACTGCACACACTTGTAGTCTCGGTGCAGAATCGGTAGTGAATAGGTTCATTGAGTTCAGTAGAGACTACTCATAATAAGCACTGCACGCACTACTACACTTTGAAGGAGCCTGCCCCAATAGGTAATACCAGGAATAACCCATTGTGAAACTTGGCCCTAGAAACTATAAGATGATTTTTAGTGTTTACCATTTTTTGTACTGATGCCAGCTATACGCATGTTCTGTAACAGAGTGACACTGGGTTTGTTCCCAGTCTTGTTTCTTAGTTCTTGCATATTGCTTCATAATCCCTTTGTAAGCCATTTTATAGCAGCATGCTAGCAAGTAAACCCAGCCCTGTGGCTGATGATAATGTTGCATCAGCATTTTTGGGATTGCAAGTGAAGTGGCCCAGTGCATTAGCTAAAGTTTCTGTTATCTCAGCAGTTCAAAGTGTCACAGCCACCTCTGGAAATTGCTTGCTATCCAGACACTGAAGCTCACATGTTTATCTACACAGAAAAAAATATATAATGCATATTTGATAAAGCAGCAGGGAATAAATTACCCATTTGGAGAAGGTTGTGAAAGTGTTTGTCATACCTCATTCTAGATTCCTTGGTTACCCCTCATTTCTAACCCTGAGTTTATGCTTCTGTTGCAGTTTTTTTGCCTGGAATACTGTTATTCCAGCCTGCTCTAGCTTCATGCACAGCAGCTGTCACTGAAACATCCCATCTGTGTAGCACTGATATGTGTAATCGCCACTATTCTTTGTGCTTTCAAGAAAAATCATCCAAGGTATCCAATCCCTGAATGAAAAGCATCAATCTTGTTATGGACTGCTGCCTTTCTATGGGAGCCTGACTTTAAACTAGCGCATCACACTACAGGCAGTAGGGCTTCATGTGGTGAAGCTCTGTTACTATTGCAGGGCTGCAGTCAGTGATGCATGCTCTCTCCTGTGCTATTAGGGTTTTTGAGTCAGGAGATGACCCACGAGCAGTCAGACCTACAGCATGCCTATAGCATTTATCTCCTGCTCTCTGCCAAGTGGGGTTCTGTGCCTGTACTTGAAATCTATGCTTTAAATGTAGAGTAGGAAGTCAAACCACACACCAAACAACCACATCCCTGCAGGAAGCAATCCACTGTGAATTTTTAGTCTATTTTCTTTCCTGGCTTAGCTTATCCCCCTTTTTTATTTTCTCTCTCTCCCCAAATCAATCCCTTGCATGTTTTATCTCGTGGAAGGTTCAACATCTGAACCTGAACAAATCGCAAGGGCATTAGCATTCATATCACATAGGCAGTCAAAGCTTTCCTCATTCTTAAGTATTCCCATGTCCTTCAGCTTTCATTTTGCTAAGCTTGTGCTAGCTGGTCTAATGTAGTTTTTGTGATGCTGCCGTACAATATATATGACAAGAACAGCCTGTGTTTACTGTAGGGTTTTGAAAGCATATTTTCTTTCCCAATAATAGCTAGTTCACAGACAAGCAGACTACACAAGCCTTATTGCAAATTGTGAGCTCAGTTCTGATTGTTATACCATTGCTAGCCCACTGTGTAGAAAAGACCATTTGTCTTCAGTTTTATAAGTGGCTCATAGAGGTAATGCTGGCCAATCTCAGTACTGTGAATCCAAAGCAACTTCAGTGATTTTGAAGGAGTAACCCCGGTATAGCTGAAAGTAGCATCTGAAATGCCAAGTCAAATGGAGTTACAGGATTACGTATTCACGAGTCATTTGAAATTATACAGGTTGAAACTATAGTGAATTCAAAGCAACAGGAATGAATGCGGTGCAGTTTGTTCACTCCATGACATACAGTAATTGTTAGTGACTGTTTAGTTCCCCCTTGGGAAAGTCTGCAGAATCTTTCTCTCATTCATCATCTACTAGAGAAAGAGCTCTGGAATTACCTGCTCTACAGCACATACAGCCAACTTTCTCCTTTCTTTTGCACAGGTGATCAGGAGGAAAAGGTAAAATGAGCTAGTACAAAGGATGGGAAACCCAGCAAGTACATGTTATTTAGTGCCAGTCTTCAACTTCTTTCAGATTGCCCTATCATGTATAGAGGTATTGTGGTGTGAAGTTTCCATTAACAATGCCAGGGACTGAGTGGCATGGATCTGGTGCACACACCTTGCATACAGACAGACATACCTTGACCAGGCAATATGGAGGAACCTAGCTCTATTGCTGCCGTTACTGGACTTATTCTATGGCTAGACAAAAAAAACCTCATCAAAGTCTGTCAATAAATGCCAATCATTGCAACTAAAATGAATTAAAAATGCATATCTCCATTGCCAGGTACATAAATCCTTATGAAATACCAAAATAATCTCTACTTTTTGAGGGTACTCCCTGTAAGAAGAAGAAAGTGTGGAATACTTTGGAGATGGCCAAGCTCATACACAGCAATTTAATTGTGTTAGAACCTCCCTTGTAAGGCCCTGGACAGAGGTGACAGTGTTTAGAGAAATGACCTGTGATTATTTTGTAACCATGTGAGCCATTGCACTGCTGCTACCCACTGATCAATGACAGCGTGTCTTATTTCTCACAGGGCTTCCAACACAGCTGAGAAGGGAACCTTAAGGAATGTCATACAGTAGGTGCTGAGACAACTTGCACTGAAACGAATAAAAAAAAATGGCAGTCCCGATTTGAAACGAATTAAACACGCAGACTCTCACTAATCCTAAACCATGTCAAAAAAAGGTCGTAGCAAAGGCGAAAAGCCTGAGGCACTGCTTGTCGCCCTGCAGGCTGCCAATGAAGAGCTCAGGACCAAGTTAACAGACATTCAAATTGAGCTACATCAAGAGAAGTCTAAGGTGAGTGAAGAGTCCATATCAAAGGACAGTCTCTCTATGGTAGTAAAGCATGTAGAAAAACTGCATCGTGGAAAACCAGTGAATGAAATGCATTTTTTCCTCCAGAACTGAAGCCTCCTCCTGCCCCCACCTTCCATTTTTCTATGTAGGTAATGCTACTGACTTCAGTGGAGCTAGTCTCAATTGACTCAGTTAACAAAGTTAATGAAGCATCACGCTCATGAAGAAGAGGTTTGCTGGCTTTAACAATATCCTGGCCATATACCAGCTGGTTTTATGAGTTCTCTGACTACAATACCCTTTTTCTATCTGTAACTAATGTGCAGTGTTGTTATGCATTCTCAAATGACTGACTGCATCCATCCATACCAAAGACGGTTGCACTTCAGTAATGAGTGAAGCCCTCCATAAATATATAGTGTGAAATTCTATACTGTGCTTTTTTGGGGGAAGTCTGCATGGTTGTCTGTGGTGTGACTGCTTGCAGTGTAGACCTTTAGGCTAGCTAGCTCAGGCACTGATAGCTGTGCAGCCACAATGCCACAGAGTTCACTATGAGCAAATCGCCATGTGCATTTAAGTACCTGAGTTGAGCTCTCTGCTGCTGCTGCTCCATTGTTGTTGGTGCCTAAACTAGGTGGTCTAAAACTACCTTGATATGCCAGTGGCATGGGCTTTGACCCCACCCGAAGGCATTCTTATCCCAAATCCTCAGCACTGACCCAACCTCTCTGTTATATTGAGGTGTGCACACAGTGAAGTGTTTCCCTTTCCATCCCCACCCCACCATTTTATGGCATGTTTCCTGTTTGTTGAGAGGTGCTTTAAATTAACAGTGCATTGTATCTGTGTTTTGGAGTGACCAATGTTAATGCAGATAGCATTCAGAGCACTGCTTTCATACCATAAAGCGGTTGTATGAACAGAGCTAAGTGCTCCTTGGACACTGGATAAGCACAATCTCTCTTTAATTTTTACAATGTGCTCTTCATGGGCAGCAGATGAAACAAATGCTCCATCTTATAGCTAGTGTTGACTTCCTGTCCCCCAGTCACATAGGTAGGGACAGTGCTCCCCACATCCCAGCTCCCTGGGTCTGCAATCCAGCCACCAAAATCATTCCAAAAGGTGTTTCAATCATTTCTTGATGTGTTTGCCCCCCTCTTCTCCCCCACCCTTGCTCCCCCAGTCAATTGTAATTGAAACCTATGAACCAGACTCTTTGGCTACTTCAGAAATAAGCATGGCCTCCGGCAGACAAACCTAGGCTGAGCTGTTTCTAGCTGCCACAGTTGAACACCACCAAGGGCTCCAGGTTCCATGAGGCCATTTATTGTGAAAGCCTTTCTTGTCCATATATCAGGGTTAATGGGAATCTTCGACCATCAGCTGATTCCATGAAAATCAGTTTCTTTAACTGGGGGGATGAAAGAAAGAATTGACATTTCTGTGCTGTCTCATGAGCTGATAATCTCTTGGGGGTTTCTCCCCTCACTCTTCAAAGAGATGTATAGCCATTGACTTGCAAACTGTGAGGGAACTGACACGTTCTCTTGAATTCATTCCGCATCCCGTGCTTGTACAGCAGGCTGATCTCAGATCCTGGACAGGCAAAGTACTTTTTCAGGCATCGGCATGGATGTTTTGCACATGGGCAGAGACTATCTACTCTGTAGGAAATGTAGGCTAGCTGCCAGAAACTTGATGGAGCAAAGAGCTGCTTGCTGATGCTCTATTTCTACTGTGGCTGTATACTTTTAGTACCCTGAGGTTCATTGCTACTTGTCACTTTAGGGGTGACAAAAAAAAAAGGAACTTACACGGGTAAGCAAGACTTGTTAAAGACTTCTGAACATGTGAAGCTGTTTACAAAACATCAGTCCCTAGGAGGGAGATCAGTAGAATATGAACAAACTAAAGAGATTAATTCACATTCAGTAGCTCCCACCAGATATTGAGCATCTCCTGAAAGGTGCTGAATGCCTTGCATTCCCAGTGACATGCATGTGATGTAGAGTGCTCACAGTATTGCAGGATTAGACCCAAAGAGTTACAGTGGAGTTCAAGATTGGCCTACAACAGGGTCGTGGGCCAGATGAGGACCAACCCCTTCTGGAGTGCCTGTGGTGCTGGTTCCAACCTGTGCACTGCACATGCGAGCTGCATGCACTGCACACACGGCTTGCTGTTACATGGTCCCTCGGGTCAGTAAAGGGTGCGTGCCACCCATGGCATGTAGGCTGGACCCAATGGTGCACGTGGCACAGAGGGTCTGGGGCACAGGCTGTATGCGGCACCCCAAACCTGTGCTGCCTGCATGCAGCACGCAGGACTGGGGCCAACAAATGGGGGCAGGCCAGCAATCTATAGCATACAACTCCACAGGCCAGTTGTGACCCGCAGGCCAACTGTTTGACATTCCTGGTCTACAACACATGAAAAGAGATCTCAAGTTTGAATGAACATGGAGTTGAAGTCCATTTTGATCAAAGCTTTTGGTTGGGCCCATGTTATGAAAGTACCCAACTCCCAAATTGGTTCTGGATGTGGTTCAGATCTTATATCTGAAGTTTTAACTTAGCTCAGACTGAGAGTTTTGGTTCAAATTGAACATCTTCTGGCTGACCAATCATTTGAGATGCCTGAGAGAGTAAGAAGGGACTGTTCCTCTTCCTCCCACCAAAAAGCTTGGGTAGAAATTTCTGATGCACCTCCCTGCCACAGCCTCACCTTTTCATGGGTGTAACGAGAAGCAAGCACATAGAAGAGTAAAAATCTGAGCCAGTGAACAATGGGACCTTTTTTTGCATAACTTTGTTTCACCAATTTTAACTGAAATTTCTTCCAGCAGAGCACCTTGCTTCACCCTCCCCCATCCACTAAAGGGCACGTCAGCATTGCAGTCAAGTGTGACTGCAGCGCCTGTAGACACACCTGAGTGAACTATAAACTAGAGCACTTGGGTATTGATAACAGGGTAGCCATGGCAACACAGCTCTGTGTGGGCTATCTGTACCAGAGCTAGCTAGTCGAAAGGTATCTCAAGGCAGGCTGAACATCATGTAGAAGTTGAAGCCTGACTGCCATGTAAATACACTCTAAGCAGGACTAAGTGGGTGTCATTTTGTAGCCCATCAAAACTTCTCTTTGATCAATGAGATAAAGTATGCTGATGTGAGAGGTAAGATATCCTACTCATTTTCCCTAGTCAAGGAGAGGTGCAAAGGGCATGAAACAGAGGGGCAAGGGAAAGGAGGTTAAAGAGACCCCAGACCTGCACATCTGGATGATTACAACTAGGCATATTAAGTAAAACTGGCCTTAGTTTCAGTGGTAGTAATTGTAATTAGGGTGCAACATACAGAAGTGATGACAGACACTGAATGTTATTCCCTAGCCCTACTTACCTGTCTGTATTAGAGAGTAGTCAGCCATGCCCTGCTTTTTGCCTGTCAGTGGAATAGTGCTACAATAGGGTTATTCCTTTTGTATAGAGTGACAGCAGCTAGATGTTGCTACTGCAACAGTGATCTCTAGTGCGAGCTGAGTGCCGAGTGCCTCTGGAATCGGCCTGATTTTATTTTGGCATATACATAGTGGGGTGAGTACCTATCTTAGCACACAAATGTTAAAACTTCTGCCTGAGTTCTTGAACAGCAAAAGCTTTAACACTGATGTTTTAGGGAGGTAGCTGTTTTTTTTCTCAAGGAGACTTTGAAGAAAGACACCGCTTAATTTTCAGCGGTTGACTAATACTTGTCAGAATGACATTGGGGACCTGAAGCCAAAGTAAAATCACACTATTAGGGCTTTTTCCTAAATAGGAGATTTATTTTGGTTAGCATATATCTGAGACCACTTGGGGACAGAAGACAAAGACAGTACATCTTGCGTATAGCTTTCCCTATCTTTGGCAAATCTCATTCTTCTAATCAATTATGACCACAAGCAGGCCCCACTGGTGTCTCTTGGAGAGCTTTCAACTGATCTAGTCTTTTATTTATTATTATTGATTTTTTTTCTTTCTCACTTTAAAAGGTTTGCACACTCTGATTCTTTATAGTATTTATTTTAAAGAGAAATTGTCATGGGAGTTTTAATCTTTCAAATCCTTCTTTTTTCCTTTTCATAAACCTTAGAACAACCCACTGAGTTTTCAGCAAAGTGAAATCTCTTTTTTTCCTTATCAAATCACTTTCCTCCGTTGTACATTCACGTGAGTTTGCTATTGTGTTTGCTTCTGAGGTCTGTGTTTGGTTTCTGAAGTGTATTGGGTTGCCCCATTATCGCAGGGTTGTCCTTTAGGTATGGACAAAGGATGTAAGTAGTTGGGGTTTTTCTTTTTAAAGAAAAGCAATGAAGCATTCATCTTAAGGAAAAAAAATATATGGGGACAAATACTAAAGACTTTACTCCATCAAATGTCAATGGAACCAATAAGATTTTTGCTGGAGTATGAAGAGGTAAGAAGAGGTAATTGCTGAGAGAATGCCTCTAAACATGCCTGTAGTTTTGTCATACCGGGGGTGGAGGAAGATAGGGGCATCTTGGATATGTTTTGTCCCTTGGGTGCAGCACTTTATAGGCATCCTGGGTAGACATGTTTGTGTATCATCTTGCTTGTGGCTGTTGACTTTCTTTTCTTCTCAACGTGTAGGTTGCTAAACTTGAGAGGGAGAAGACTCAAGAAACCAAACGGATCCGAGAACTGGAGCAACGCAAGCAGACTGTGCAAATCACTGAACTCAAGGCGAAACTCCACGAGGAGAAGATGAAGGAGCTACAGGCAGTGCGGGAGAACCTAATCAAACAGCACGAGCAGGAGATGACCCGGATGGTCAAAGTCAGAGACAGTGAAATCCAGCGCCTCAAGTCAGCACTGTGCGCTTTGCGGGATGGGAGTAGTGACAAAGTAAGGACAGCGCTGACCATTGAGGCTCGTGAAGAGGCCAGGAAACAGTTTGACTCTGAGCGCCTTAAGCTTTTGCAGGAAATTACTGAACTAAAATCTGCCAAAAAGCAGGTGGATGAGGCTCTTAATAACATGATCCAGGCAGACAAGATCAAAGCGGGTGATCTTCGGAGTGAGCATCAATCCCACCAGGAAGCCATCTCTAAGATCAAATGGGAGAGTGAGCGGGATATCCGCAGACTGGTTAGTAGCTCCCACCATATACCACAGAGCTTGTGTTACTTTTTCTAGCCTTTGCCTCTTGTCGTGGTACTTAGATCCACTCAGCTCAAAATTGTTTAAAAAACAAATGAGAAATGTCTAGTTATCACCCCTCCCAGGAAATAAGTCTTCAGCAGTAGGTGGCAACCGTTCAAGATTAGATGGGCCTTAAATAAATGGCCTTAACATCGGCCTTAAATAAATGAGCTAATGCTCTTGTTCTGCAGTGAACTGAGTAGTTGTAATACATCTACTGCTGTCTCTTTTTCTCTTATTCCCCAACGAATGTGTGTTAAAAGAACCTCTGTGAGCATCGTGGAGCCGAAACATACATTGTACGGAAGAAGCACTGAAACTATTGGCAAACTTTTGTGGCGTTCAGGGAACACTTTCATTCCCCCCAAAAAGAAAAAAAAAAGTCAGAAAAGTCAAAACAATTCCCTTACGTTTTTTTAAACTACACACTTTTGGTGAGGAGAGCCCATGACCTAATGTTTAGAGACTTTGCTGGGAAGTTGGAAATGTAAGTTCATACCCACCTCTGGGTTGCCTAAAACCCTGGTCTAGAATCCTAACCTAGCTATTGTGCTAAAAGGTGGGGGAGGCACTTCTCTTCTGACATCAAGTACTTATAGTCTTCCTCCAGCTCCGTGATAGAATTGTGCAAGTTAGCTACATTTAACTCTGTATCACCCTGTGTATATTCTGTGACTGATCTGGGATGTGAAACAGTTTTCGAAAGTTATAATGAACAGAAATTTGTTTCCAGAATATTTATTTGCATATGTGCATTGCACTAGGCCAGGCTTTGATTTCATGTACTCTGGTAAAAACTCAGTGGAAAAACTATATCGCCCTGGTGTCAAGAGGGTTGCAGTAGATTGACACCTGGGTAAATGAAATCCAAATCTGGCCCATTAATATGAAAATATAACTCTAAAGGCATTTCAGTATGCTTGAAAGGTTACAGGTTCAGTAAAGTGTCTTTGATGGCTGTAGGCACAATTCAGCACAGATAGTATTTTTGCTTTTGGGAAATGACTCATGCAACTTTCACAGATTGCAGTGCACTTTTTCTGAAAATTTTGCAAATTCTGGTTCACTGAACATCCTTAGGCTCAATGGCATTAGCTGCCTTCTGCCAATCTCTGTATTCATTTAGGGCTTGTGTGCAGTGATCTTATTCCAAAATTGAGTTAACCCTTCCTTTTCTGGTCGTCAAGCATCATGCATCAAGATTCCAGTGAAGGAAATGAAGTGTGAGGTGCTTTATTGTGGGCTAGATGAATCTGGAACATTACACAGCAATGGAGCAACTGATATCCAAAGAAACAAGAATTAGTAGAATGACCCTTCCAATACAGAGTCGGCCCCTAGACTGCAAGATTGTCAGATTGGGCGCTGAGCCCCAGCTGATGTAAATCAGTGACTCTGTATTGATTAAACAGGGCCATATCTTCAACTGATGTAAATCAATATAACTCCATTTACACTACCAGGGATTGAGCCTACATATCTTCATTTAGCCATGGTATTTTGTACTGTAAATGACTACATGAGGTGCTAGGTGATAGACTGTAACTTTGGCTCTGATTTTTCACAGATCTTAATCCTCTGCAGTTCTTGAACATGTCAGTAGGGGCTACAGAAGTGGAACACCATTGAAAAGAGCTTGTGTATAGGTTCAGTGATGCCCTTTCTAATCGACAAGCCACAGGCAATAATGATTCATAGTTTGTATTGTTTATGGTAAAACCTTGATCAAGTTCATTATCTAGGAATCTGATATGATACTCAACAGCAGATACAATAGTAAACGGCAGCGCTGAAGTGATCTGAGTTACTCTTGCAATGCTGACATGCTGTTGGATTTATGTGTTGATATTGTTCTGCTATTTCTTCATTTAGATGGATGAGATCAAAGCTAAAGACAGAATAATCTTTTCCTTGGAGAAAGAACTGGAGACTCAGACGGGCTATGTACAGAAGCTTCAGCTGCAGAAAGAAGCTTTGGATGAACAGCTCTTCTTAGTGAAGGAGGCAGAATGTAACATGAGCAGTCCCAAGAGAGAGATCCCAGGAAGAGCAGGGGATGGCTCAGAGCACTGCAGCAGTCCTGTGAGCAGGTTTCCCTGTCCTCTGAAATGTAGAAGCGTGGCTCTTTGGTTTACATAATAATCTCACCAGCTTTCTGCATCATTTTTCCTATTTGCTACAGAGAAGATAAGCTTCATTTTATGAACTCTATGAAGTACCCTCTAGTGGAAATTCTTAGCTATGTCTGCCAAAGGCCCTCGTAGATACCTTAGAAGCACATATGTTTTTGCAGGTGTTTTCTTTCCGCTGAATAGCTGGTTCTTAGCTGGTCCAGTGGGTTCAAACCAAGGGCCAATTTCTGCCCTGCATTGCACTATGTGGTTATGAAACACTACCAGATGCAGTGAATATGGGACCCTCCCAAAGCAGAATAGCATATCATTTATACCCATGTTACTCAGGAGTAAATGACCATACAAAATGTAAGTGGGGTCCAGAAATGAGATCCAAGCTGTTTGAACTTTTTCCTAGCATACAAGTCCCTTGTGATGGTCTCCATAAATGGTACCAATATGGCCAAGGGGGTTCATTTCACTACAAAATGATGATGTGGTTATATTTTATAGCATTTAACTTGACTTGTCCAATGTATCTTCCATGTGAACCAGTAACTAAATGATATTTTTCTCCATTTTCAGGATTTACGCAGAAACCAGAAGAGGATGGCAGAGCTGAATGCCACAATCCGGAAACTGGAGGACAGGAACACACTACTTGTAGATGAACGAAATGAACTGGTGTGTGATCTTGTCCTTGTCAATTGGGGAGGCAGGAAGTCTCAGGGAAAGGAAAGAAGGGTGATTTAGGCAGTCATGATTTATGCTGTGTCTACCCTTTACTCCTAAGGCTTAGAACTTCTCATATGAAAGGACAGGAAATGACACAGCTCTTGGGTGTGCTCAGCAACCTCAGGGCCCTGTCCAAAGCCCCTTGCAATCAGTGGTAATTTTTCTATTGATGACAGTAGGCTTTGGCTCAGGGCCTTAGTCCTTGTTTCACCACATCTGTTAACACACAACTGTTCCATGCATTATGAGGTGCTTCAGACCATACTTCATAAAACATAGCATGGTGTGGCATTGTATTTAAACATAAGAGGTATGTTTAAATACCTCAAGGGCTCATTTTTGCTGCTACCTGAATCTCCATTCCTTCCATCTCCCTCACCAAGGGTAGCCCTGCCCCTTCACAGGTGCCCTGCCCCTGGCCACTGTCTTGGGGCAGGTGTCCCTCCCCCAACCCCTGACCATCAGAAGTCCCTCCCCTTGCCCCTGGAAGTACTCTTTTTGGGAGGGGGGCTTGCCTTAGAACCGGAAAAAAGACAAATCATATACTAAAAGTAAAAAATCTACTGTAACAGATTTTAATTTTATTTCAAAGAATATTTTTGTCCTGACTTACATGTGTGTGCTTAGTGTATATAGAGAGGATTGCATAATAGGTCAAAAATGAGGTCTTACTGGTATGTGTATATGTGGGGTAGTTGTGGGGGGTGTGGGGTGTGAGGTAGGGTGGGGGTATGGGGACCCTGCACATGCCCCCTATGGTGCACAGCCCCTACTGCTGGCAGCAGCAGCAGCAGGCTCATTGCCTGCTCAGGCATTGCACAGTTCCAGCCAGTTCTGGGAGTTGCACATGCCATCAAGGAGCGCAGCCAGGCTGCCCACCTCTGTCGCTCCCTGCAGGTCATGTGCAGCTCCCACACCAGCGGGGGGGAAAACCTGCATGATGAAGCCAGCAGCCTCACCTGGCTCCCTGCCACCACATGCAGCTCCTGTTCGGCAGAGTCCCAGGAGCAGTATGTGGCAGCGGAGAACAGAGCCAGGCTGCCAGTTCCATTATGCGGGGCTTTCCCTGGTAGTGTGGGAGTCCCAGGAGCTGCATGTGAGCCATGGGGAGCCCCATGTGATAGAGGCAGGCCAGTCTGGCTCTGCTCCTTCCACCACATGCAAATCCTGGAACTGTTCTGAACCACGTGCTGCCAGGCAGCTGCGCCTGCATGGGCCATGAGCACCCCTGAGGGTCTGCTGCCTGCTGCTGCCACCAGTGGCAGGGAATGTGCATCATGTGTTCCCACACACCCCCCACTCACCATCACATATGTGCACCCACACCCTTCCCACCCAAACTCTGCACTCCCACCCCCCACCCCCCCAGGTGCAGGCCTCAGGCTCCATGTGCCACACTCCCACCCAGCTGCAGCTTCCCTCTGCCTGCCACCATTTCCCTACCTGCTGCCCGGAGCAAGTGCTGAAGCACGGACACAAGGAGGAGCTGTTGGAGGCCGGGGAAGCCAAGCAAGTCCCCTGGTGGCTGCAGCAATAGCAGTAGTGTCCCCACCCAGATGGCCAAGGCCAGAGCTGAGGCCCTCCCTGGCATGAGGGTGGGAGCGAAGTGCACTGGCTGGGGGGGGGATAATTAATTGGGGGGGCCAGTGGGCCAGGTGAAATAGTCGGATTCAGTCTGTGGGCCATATTTTGCCTGCCCCTGGTTTACAGGGTTCTTGGGAGGTATCATAGGAAATTTCATAGTAAAAATGTAGCCCAATCTGATATCAATTTCCTCTTAGAATAATGATGTGTGTTTTTATACTAGTGTGGTGCATGTAAACTAGCTATAATCCCTAAACCCCACATAGACACTGTAACAATTAAATGCAGGGTTATGATTCTGATCTTACTCACACTGAGTTTACACCAGTTAACCATTGACTTCAAGGTGGTTTTACCATGGGTTCACAATAAAAATTGGTTTGTAGGATTCTGGTTAAATGTTTCTATGTTATCTGACTCAACCTTTTCTTATCAGATACTCCTAAGCACATAGCGGCTTCTGGTCAGATCTATTCTTGAAAAATCAAACAATGACAGTATTTCAGCATCTGGCATATCGACTATGCAGGCTGAGGACAGTATAAATATCAGATCTACAGAGAATGGATTACAGTAAATTCATTCCTTTGACAGATTTATTTTAGCATGGAATAGGTATGCCTTGCCGTGGACATCTGTGCTTTTTTGACCATCAGCATTTCTGCAATTCCAGTTAAAGATTAAGGTTTTGAAATTCAGAGCAGTTCCATTGTATTCAGTGTGAGGACAGGAATCATAATTGACTCATTTGGCTTCAGTGTAGCTATCTCATTCACATCAATGGTATTAATTAACTAAAGCTTGTAAAATCATGACTTATCACAATTGTAATACAGTAAAATGCATTAACGTGTATTGCTTCCATTAGTTACATCTCTCAAAACTGAGTTCCTACAGCATTTAGCAAATAATAGCCTGAATATTCAGTCTAATTGGTTATAATTTGATGCATACTTTTAAACAGCCAAAGTCTTTTTTTCTTTAATGAGAAAATGGCATTGCTTAGAAGAAAGACTGTAAACATTTCTTAGAGAGTTTGATTGTAATGAGCACATTTATTAAATAATATATTATGATCCAGGGTACTGCTACAGGCAAAGCACAACTTCATATGTAATTATGTGTCTTCCTTCCCATTAAAATAAGGATTTTTTTAATAGTGTTGTTCAGAGAACCTCATCTTCTAAGGAAAGGGGAATTTCATGTATAGAGGAATTTAGACTTACCAGTAGTAGAATTCAGCACTATGTACTATAATGCTTTTTCACTGCTAAACAATGATTTGATTTTTAAAAATCCACGCTGTTATAAATAAAAAATTTTCCATTGTCCATTGAGGACTCATGCTATGGATGCAGTATTTACAATTAGGGTGTTTTGGACCAGCTGCAGACAAATCCAAATCTTCCTTTTGGTGAAGAGGTCTGTATCATTTGTCTGTAAGGCATGGAGCCTTGATAAAGAAAATGGGTGTCTGTTCCAAACTGTACCAGTGGTCTGTTGGGAGACCTGGGGCAAGTCATTTCATCCCAGCATATGCCTCAGTTTCCCCATCTGCAGTGTTACTTCCTTTTAAAGTGCTTTGAAATCTGTGGCTGACAAGTGCTAAATAACAGCAAGGTATTGTTATTCCTTGTCACTTCCATTTGATAATTTTCCTTTGGGACTTAACTAGGTCAGTAATTATTGCCCTAATCTATGCTTTAGCAAGGCCTACAATCCCCCAGGAAAGAGAGCTAAACCAAGAGCTCATAGTGAGGAAAAAGAGAGTATATTTTTTTAACCAGGCCATTATTCATTATTATTACAGCTGAAACGTGTCCGAGAAGCTGAAAAACAATGCAAACCTCTCCTGGAAAGGAACAAGTGCCTCACCAAGAGAAATGATGAATTGATGTTGTCCTTACAGCGCATGGAGGAAAAACTCAAAGCTGTCACTAAAGAAAATGTAGAAATGGTATTGAATGTAGAATGCTATTGAACACCACTCTAGGACTCTGTGTGTGTGTGTGTGTGTGTGCACGTGCGCGCACACGTGCATCTGTGTGTGCACGTGCATGTGTGTGTGCATGTGTGTGTACATACATGCGTGCACCCACCCCAGGATTTTGATATGGTCTTTCATAAATTAAATTTGGTACTGTTGGACTGATAGTATAGCCATCATGGTCCAGGAATTATGGAGACTGATAAACCTGATGAAGAATGCCTTGTATTTGAAAGCTTGTCTAACTTCATCCTAGCTATGCAGGTGGTTCAAAAGAAGATATCGCCCACAAAAATCCTTATCTCTCATATACATTAAATTTGTAATTCAGGCAATTGTGAATATACTTCTATGTGGAAAGGTGGGCAGGAAAACTTGATGGAAGAGGCCATAAATTTCACCTCAAATATTGGTTCTGTTGTACCTGCTATTTCCTTCTTCCCACGTTGGAAAAGCTTTTCTATTTATAGATTTGTTAAATGAAATCCTTCTGGATTTATAAGGCTTGTATTTGACTCTCATTCATTTAGGGGTTTCTGGTATTAATACAATGGAGATCTAATGCCATTTACTACAGTCTCAGCAGATAGGTCCTGAAAAGATGTCCCACACATGGCACGTTGATGGATATCATCCCTGACCCATGATACCTTTTACACTTGTCTGGAGCAGGCTGACTGCTTTGTCATTTTGGTTCTGTCAGACTACTGATTAAGATGAGTCATTATGTATGCAAACATAATTTGACATGCAGCTAATCAGACATTGAAGCCTAGGACTTCATACCTAACCCATAGTCTTGAAACAAGAGGTGAAATATATGTAGACAACAGCCTAGAGCAGGGGTTTTCAACCTTTTTTAACAAGTGTACCCCTCCTGGTGGTGGCGGCTGTTTACAGAGGGCCCCACCCCCCCCACGTCCGGTCAGCTGGGCAGTGCCTGTGCAGCCCGCCCAGGGGTGCCGGTGCCCTCGCCCCCCTGGCTGCTTCTGGGAGGCGGCGGTGCGGGGTGGTGGGTGATCACGTGCAAGCCCCCCTGCCCCACGTCTGTCTGTAGACGGGTGCTTCCTCACCTTCAGCTATTGGCTGAGGGCAGAGGCCCGGCAGCCAATCAGGAGAGCAAGTGCAGGGGGGGCAGGGAGGTGCCACGGTGTGCCGTATGGAGCTGGCAGCACCTGGCACACCCTTCCCTTCCCCTGGGTAAGAGACAACATGTGGGAATGTGCCTAGGGGTACGTGTACCCCCAGTTGACAACCCCTGGCCTAGAGCACTTCTACACCTATAGAAAAACATGTCTCTATGCCAGTAGGTCGAGGAGCTCCATTAGCTTAAAGAAGTAGTTTCCTTATAGACAGCAATGTCAATGGAGGGGGTGGGGTGGGAATGAGTGTGATTGTGTGTGTGTGTGTGATTGTGTGTGTGCGTGTGCACACAGAGTTTAACTTCTTGACATTCAGTATAACTCAACAGTTAAGTGGTGCTAATGAGTAGTTAAGTCATGACAGTTTTGCAGTTGTATTGAAAAAAATACAGGCATTTTTTTTAGGCAGGGGGAGGGAGAGGAGTTATGTCCAAAGTGGAAGATTTCTGCTTGTTTGTTTTTAAGCTCTGAATCTGTTCATTTCCTTTCTTTCTATTATTTTATGTTATTACCACAGAGAGAAAAAATGACATCACACCCTCCTCTAAAGAAATTAAAATCTCTCAATGACCTGGATCAAGCAAATGAAGAGCAAGAAACTGAGTTTTTAAAGCTGCAGGTTATAGAACAACAGAACATAATTGATGAGTTAACAAGGGTATGTTTAGACCATCAAGAATTAAAAGAATTTCCTAGATAAAATAGTATCTTTATTTTATGGCATACAAGATTTGAATGACTACATATGTTTTAATAACAATATGTTATTGTATCTTATTATATTTTTGAAGTTATATATAGTATTTAATAGTGTGTGTATGTGTGTTTGTACACACACATACATTATACTATACCATTTATGTTTGTTTATATATAGCTATATAAGCATTATAAATATATATATATATATATATTTATTATAAATATATTATAACGTATATATCCAGACTTGCTATATATTGTGCTATATATACATGCATCTCTCTCTCTCTCGCTCTCTCTTGTCTGGATTTTAATATATATTTATATGTTAAAATCCAGACTTGCTTTTTATGGCAAGCTATTTGTTGTATGGGTAGACAAGTTTCTTTGAGTAAATCTGATATCTTTTATTAGACTAACTCAAATAGTTGGAAAAAAATCTTCTTTGCAACTATTTGAGTTGGTCTAATAAAAGACATCAGATTTACCCAAAGAACCTTGTCTGCCTATGTCCTTAGACCAGCACAGCTACAACCTATATATTTGTTGCATGGGTATAATTTCTATCATTTCATAGGTATGCATAATCTGTAATTTGATGTCTAAATCTCTCCCTACACTGCGATCCCACAGTCTGAAAACAGCTTTCATAAACATATCCAAGATAACTTTAAACTAGTTTAACTAGCTTCAGTACAGACAACGTTGTGACTACAGCAGCACAGAGCTCCACATGGGATGCAAAGCCTTCTTTGGAAGCTGGACAAATATTTGGGTGCGTAGCCCACACTGAGCTCTTTGTAGGGTGCAACAGAGCTTTCATTCAATATCAGGCACCTGTAGTGTTTCACAAACCAGTCTCATAAAATGAATGGGATCAGTAATATGGTTTCAAGATTCAATAACTTGGAAAAATATAAGCCTAAAACATATATAGAAGTTGCAGAATGTCTAGATTTATTCCAATTAGAATACAGTTTCAGAGTTCTGTATAGGGAAGGGAGAAAGAAATGAGTTTTGCAGATGGAATTTGAGGCAAAAAGGTGTAAGGAAGACAGAAAAACAAAGAAAACAGTTCCAAATGTTGTAAGCAGGAGATGAAAAGGCTTTGGGTGTCTGGAGACATGCCGGGAGGCTGCTCCAACACGCTGTAATTACAGCATGCCAGAGCAGACTCAATTAATCAAGTCTGCTGGAGCGTGCAATTAGCGTGCTCCGGCAGCCTCCGTGTCTCATGTATCAGCGTCCCCACACTTCAAAATCTAACATCTATGAATCTATGAAAATGGCAGGGGGGGTGCTTTAACTATAGCTCGCTGGATGACCTTTAGGACCCCTGCCACCATTTTGAAGTGCGGAGACGCTGATACACGAGACACTGGAGGTGCTTTAAGTAGAGTGGCTGTCAGAGCCACTCTAATTAAAGTGCCCCCTCCACTCCCAGAGCACATGTAAACACGCTCTTTGTGCCCACAGTGGCAAGACTGGTTCTAACAGATAGAACAGGAGTCCTAGCAAAGGCAAGTGTTCTCCCTTTCACTGTTCAGCCCTGCCTGTAACACTGTATGTTTGACTCTTGGGTACATTGAGGAGAGCAGATATTATAATCTCCTTAAGAAAAATACAAACGATACTATCCTCCAGTGTGACACAGGAGCCAATGTTGTTCAACAACTTTTCACTAGTAATTTGGTTGCAGCTCTTAATGTGAAATGTACCTTTCAGATATATTTGCATAATAATATGAAAGAAACATTCTAAAGAAGTCTTCTAAGACCTCTTTCCTACTTGGGACACAGATGTGAAGTAATCAGTAACACAGACTAATCATTTCAAAAGAAGAGACACTTAAGTAGCACATCTGCAGACAGGGCAAATAGTAAATTACAAACCTGCTGGGCCCCAGCAAACTCCCAAACCAAAGACTTCCATTTATTTCAGTGGGAGATTGATCAAGCCCTATTGTTTAATAAATACGCGTGGCAACAAGACAAGTATCTAGGACCTCTTTTCAGACACCCCCTACTGACCTTAGAGAACAGTTTTCTGCTTGATGCACATTGATATGGATCATCCATTTTCCCAAATGAACATGAGTTATTTGGAGTACACCGATTCACCTCATGACTGTGCATCTGAGTGTTTATGTCTGCATACAACTAGGAACTTTGCAACTAACTGCAAAAAACAGAAACTTTGCATCTAACCATTAACCTTATTTCTCAGGACAGGGAAAAGCTTATTCGTCGAAGGAAACATAAAAGAAGTTCAAAGCCCATTAAGGTAAGAGGAATACTACATTATTATATAGTGATGCCAGTGTGCTTTTCAGGATAATATATCATAATTATTGCAACTCAACAACACCTTTGAACACTCTCAGCAGTGGGGCTCATAAGAGTTTCAATTTCTTCAGGAAAATGTTTTCAATCCCTATTTCTCCAAGATCTATTTGAAAATGCCCATTTTGTTTTTAGTGGAGGTTTTTTTCCTTTATAGATCATATTAGATTTACTTGCCGCCATCTTTTCCATAAATACCATTATCAAGGCCTGTAGAGATTTATCTATGTCCCTAGAGACTCTCCACTCTACTTGCTTCTGTCAATTTATCCTAAACCTTCAGGGCCGATCCTGACATCCTTATTGAAGTAAAAGTCACGTTGACTCTCATTTTTACAAACTGAAATCTCTGGCCTAGATCTTGAGATGCAGCTGAGCAGCACTCAATTAATAACTCAGCTCTGTAGATACATGCAAAGGACTTAGGCCACTGTTATCTTGCCCTGATGCTGGATCTTGTCTAGTCTAGTCTAGTCCCTTGGCATATTTTAGAACATGCTGACCCACCAATTTGAGCCGGAATAAACTAATCCCAGCGTCACTGAATAGTGGGGTCCCCTAGGGCTCGGTCCTGGGGCCCACACTGTTCAACATCTTCATCAGCGACTTGGACGAGGGGGTGGAAAACACATTGTCCAAGTTTCCCGATGACACCAAGATGTGGGGAGAGGTAGGCACGCTCGAAGGGAGAGAGAGGCTGCAATTAGATTTAGACAGACTACAGAAGTGGGCAGATGTTAATAGCATGGGCTTCAATGTAGATAAATGCAGCATGCTGCACTTGGGGAGAAGGAATCCACAGCATACATACAAGCTGAGGAGCTCCCCGCTTGTGAGCACAGAGGCGGAAAGGGATCTCAGAGTCATTATTGACTCCAAGATGAACATGAGCTGCCAATGCCAGACTGCAGCCAGCAAAGCCAACCGCACCTTGTTGTGCATCCAAAGATGCATCTCAAGCCAGTCCAGAGAGGTGATACTCCCCCTCTACACAACATTGGTCAGGCCACAATTGGAGTACTGCGTCCAGTTCTGGGCACCGCACTTTAAGAAGGATGTGGCCTGCCTTGAGAGGGTTCAGAGGAGGTCCACCCACTTGGTTGGAGGGCAACAGGGCAGGCCCTATGAGGAGAGGCTGAGGGACCTGAACCTGTTCAGCCTCAGCAAGTGGAGGCTGAGGGAGGATTTGGTGGCTGCCTACAAACTCATTAGGGGAGATCAGCAGCAAATAGGAAGGGCCCTATTCCCCCAGCAGCACCTGGGGTGATGAGGAACAGTGGCCAGAAGCTGCTGGAGAATAGGTTCAGGTTAGAGATTAGGAGGCACTATTTCACTGTTAGGGTGGCTAGGATCTGGAACCAACTTCCTAGGGAAGTGATCCTCGCTCCTACCTTGGGTAAATTCAAAAAGAGGTTGGACAAACACCTGTCTGGGGTTATGTGATCCCAGTGTATGCTCCTGCCAGTGGTGGGGGGTCAGACTAGATGATCTGTTCAGGTCCCTTCTGACCCCAAACTACTATGAAACTGTCTACATGTGCGTTTAAGCATAGTAATTTACTACGCTGCCAGATACAGCTTGTATCTGACAGGACTGTCTGGCAACACAGTAAATTAGTCTGCTGTGCCCTAATTGCCGTGCATGTGTGGACAGTGATGCTTTACTGCACAGCAAATGATTTTGCTGTGCAGTAAAACATCTTGTGTAGATGCGTCCAGTATGTCCATATTTAACTTTATTTCTTCATAAATAAATGAAAAATTATCCCATGCAGGAGGATACAGCAGTGATCTTCATTTCTGAAAAATGTATGTGCACCAGAATTTCTTGGCATGTTCAGTTCATCCTTCTGCATGACTCAAATTCTGGGAATTCATTAGAAGGCTGTAATCTGACAGCATTAGAAGAAGAAAAATGCTCTACCGAAAGAGTGCATTTTAAATACTCATTGATCAGTCTGTCTTTATCACTACCATGCTTTGTGCCAAGTCTTAAATGCTGAAATCTGTGTCCTGAAACCCAAACCTGCTGGTTAAGCAGCTCTGCCATCTTAGGATATAACTCAGAATGTTTCTTTGGTGTCATTAATTCAGTGAAACAGTGGGATATTAGACACTACACACCCAGAACACGTATTGTAAAAAACATTCTCTGTAAGTCAGTCTTTACCGTAGTAGTGAAAACTAATAGGAAGTCTAATTCTCCTTTCCTTTATATTAGTTTTGTTAGTGTAAAGCCTTTCCCAAATATACATGTCAGGAACAGAAGAATTATGCCCATTGTCTCTTTTTTGCACAACAGGTATTTAATCGAACCGTATCTTCATGGGCCTAAATGTTGATGGTCTTGTTCTGAGCATTGTTATGTGATAGCAATGTACGAATTTATATCCTTCTAATGGGTGAAGAAGGAAATGCTGTTCTCATTAATTTTCTGATATGAGTCAGATCCTCAAATTGTGTGGTCAGTACAGCTCCATTGACTTCACTGGAGTAAAGTGATGTATACCAGCTAATAATTTGGACCTGTGCTTGAATCCTTCCAAACACATTTCCTGTTGGAGATATAAGCCTGTTGTCATTCTTTCATGTCTTGTGGCTCTTTACATTTTTAAAGTGCTTTCTGATGTGTGTTGGAACTGACTTATATTTTCCCGTTATGCAAACCCATGCTATTTGCCTCCAGAAGGCATTCAGAGCTCCCTGTGTTTTTTTCCTTCTTTAGAGACATGTAGTGGATACAGTTTTCGGGTATGATGATGATTCTATGGACTCAGAAACCTCATCCATGGCCTCATTTAGAACAGACAGAACACCAGCAACACCAGATGATGACCTGGATGAAGTAAGATTTCCTTTCCTCTCCACAATTTGAGCCAAACTTTCAAGAGAATAGGTGATTAGAATCCCCAAATATTTCAGATGCTTAGATTCACAAGCAGTACCGAGCTCTTCTGTAAATGCTGCCTCAGTTGTATGCTGAGATCTTGAAACCCAAACCCTGAAGAATTTTGAAAATCTAGCCTCTAGAACCTAGGATTTACTAATTTTGGATATGATTAAAAATAAATGAATATACAAATAGCCTGTAATTGCTAAGTTCAGATGCTTTTCTAAACAGTACTTTTAATTGATAATAGTCTGGTCAACAAGCTCATCAGTCACTTCCATCAGGCAGGAAATAGAGCCCTGAGTCTGTTCCTTTGGGTATTTCCTCAAGTCCTGATTTACAGTTCTCCTTGAATGTCCAAAACACTATCCACTCCTGTTTGATTTTGAGTCCAGTGGTTCTCAAGATTGTCACTAGACTCTTTTCATTAATTGACTTCACAGAAGCATGTTTCCCTTTGTAATGAGCCACAGCTGCATTTGCATACAAATACCTCGAATGTCATCAAAGATAGTACATGAGAGCCTTCAGCACTGAAAGCAAAAACCTTACCACCTGAGCTAAAAAGACAGGTACTTTAGTAGTGAGATGCTAGAGGACTGTCCAGTTGCTGGGAAAATCCACTAGCAAGGGTCAATCTCATGAACAAGTCTTTGTATCAAAAAATTAAAGATGCCAGTCATTGTAGAAGACACCAATTTCCCACAGTGTGGCAAGGAGTAGTGGAATTGTTTTTGTTTAGCATGGCTTATCTATTTGTGACCAAAGTAGCTAAATTTGAAGCAAAATTAACCCAAGGCCAGACTGACCATAATCTATGAAAATATAAAACTACATGTTTCATTTAGGTTTCTAAACTCAACACCCTTATTACCACTACAACACATGCATTAAAAAGCCATTTTAAATCAACGTTGGTTGTCAAGACATGGTGAAACTATAGACAGGAGTAACCATGAGAGCCCATTTTAGGCATTCCTTCCCTTTCCAGTGATCCTATGTTTTCTTCTTACAAAGCATCTTCATTCTGTTTCTTCAGAGTTTAGCAGTGGAAGAATCAGAGTTGCGATTTCGACAGCTAACAAAGGAATACCAGGCTCTGCAAAGGGCATATGCATTGCTCCAGGAGCAGACAGGGGGCATCATAGATGCTGAAAGGGAAGCCAAGGTCAGTATTTGTCTGGGGGAGGGAAAGTATTTAGCAGAAGCTAGAAAGCGGAGCATACAAGCGTCCCAAAGGGAAGAGTGAAGTAACATCTAAGGAATCAGAGCAGCATATTTGTGCAGTCTGATAGATGGCAGCATCACTTATTTGGCTGAGCCCATGTAAAAAGGGAGATTATTAAAGATGAACACAATGGATCAACTTGTAAGATGCCTTCCCCCCCACTGAGTCAGGATACCCTAAATTGATGTAGACGTGTCAAAGTGGAAGATCCTGTATAGTGGCATGTACAATTCCTCGTGTTGTGCAGGTGGCCACACAGGTTTTTGCAAGCACAGTGAATGTCTATAGGTTTCTGGGAGATCAAGCATTGCACCCTTCTTTGAAAATACATTTGAGAGTCTTTCAAATGGGGACATACTTTAGACAAAGTTGCAAATTATCTGTTACACTAAATCTTCCAATCCTGAAAGAGTCTCTATCTATAATGTGGGGGCTTATAAATTTCTTTCTCTTAACTTTTGCCTGGCTCATCTGTTTAGAATGTATTCTCTTCAGTGCCAGGACTACTTTTCCTAGTGTCTAATGCAGCTGTAATCTGGGTGGGCGTTACTGTAATACAAAAAATAAATAGTAACCGGGGCCTCATTCTCAACAGTGTATGCTCTTGTGACATCATTCATGGCAATGCCAAACAAATGCAAAAAGGGCATAACATGCAAATAAGTTAACACAGCAATGTTTATACATGTCTTATGGGTGTAAATAATGACATAGGACTAGGCTATCTCCTGTGTCCAGTTTCTCATCGTTGAAAATCCCCTCAGTACATTTCTTCTTTCTACTGTGTAATGATGTCACTGATTTTAATAGGCACAGGAGCAGCTCCAGGCAGAAGTCCAGAGGTATAAAGCTAAAATAGAAGATCTGGAAAAAACATTGGCACAGAAAGGACAGGTATATATTTTGCACTGGGCGTGAACTTCTGCTATTGTTGTAGCTAATCTCTGCTGCTGCATATTCATGAAGCTGGGCCATCAGTGTTCCTCTTAGGATATCACATTTGCATCAAGAATTTTGTAGCTATTCTGGACACTAACATAACCAGTGATCACTGAATTGTACTGAGGCAGAATGGATAGGTTAGCGTTTCGGGTACATACAGTGGGATTCGAGCAGAGTTGTCCATTCAAGAGAGACTATAGAAGTTTTAGTAGCAGTAGTTAGTAGTAGTCACTCAGGACTTGCACCCTTTTCTTGTCGCACACACAGAGGGGACACATTGTAGTAATAATATGTTGCATTTCTACAATTTTAAGCCTGGTTTTATGCTGGTAGTATCTCAGTTCATTGCTGTCAGTGGCATTATGCTGAGTTTACACTGATGTAACAGAACAGAATCTGGCCCTTAATTTTCAGATCTTTACAAAGCTCAGTTACAGTTTAGCTAAAAATTCTTGTAGAGTGCAGGTATGGGGATGCATCACTTCCGCCACGTTATAAAGGAGTCAAGTATGTCACATGTTAAATGCTTCCTAGTTTTCAGTATGGAACAATTTAGGACAGGGCATGAAGAACATTGAAAAAAATTGAAACTGCAATGAGAATTTGGACAGACAGTAAGGTTAATACCTATATCCCTGTGAACTGTATCAGAGCAAACACAGGTAATCAGAATCCCATTTTACAACCTACTACGGGAAAGCACAGTCACTAAAAACACTGTCCCTGACTACATAATGAACATTATTTCAATATAGACTTTCAGGGAGGTATCAGCTTCTAATGAAAAAGCCCAGGGGATTCAACAGTGTTGCTGCTAAATAATAGACTACCATATTGCTATGAAATACAACTGCTATAGAACATTTTACTACAGTATCTAAACGAAGTACTTGTGGCTTGTTTTAACAATCATGCTGAATTACATAATTCGTAGGCTAAGTATTGAAATAGTCACTTGATTCTTATTTATCAGTGTTACTTTATCAAACAGGACTCTCACTGGGTAGAAGATAAACAACTTTTCATTAAGAGGAACCAAGAACTTTTAGAAAAGGTATGCTCGAAATCCTCAAGTGTTGGTTTTTAAAGAGGTGACATGAAATACCTTCACATTCAGGATGTGCAATTTGGATTTGTGAATTTAATGAATGAACAGTGAGCAGGTTCTGCTTTAACTCTTTCATCTTCATTAATGAACTGTGGTTCTGTTTTTGTGGTACCCACTCCTGGGACAGAAACAGCCTGTTGTGTTGCATTAGGCTAAGCCTTTACCATTGCTACTTCAGGCAGGATATTTTGAACTCATGCTTCTAGAGGTGAAAAGCTAATGCTTCTTAAAATAAAAAGCACTGGCAGGCCAATACTATTTAGAACAGATTTATGTATAGGGAAAAGTTTACAGACCTGAGCCAGAAGTACATAGTAACTCACTCTACTTTTAGAGTGGTGTCCTCAAGCAGCTGCCTTATTCCAGGCAGGCTATTTCCTAAACCAGAAGTTGCATATCCATATTAAGAGACCACTTCAGGTGAGTTAATTAGCATCACTGATTGGCAGAAATCAGCTCACCATAGCACTGCTTAGATATGGCTGTAATGCTTCCAGTTTAGAAGCAGACCCACCCAGAGAGGTGCAGCAGGCTCTAGAGCATAGTAAGCTTGCTGTACAGATGTGGCTTTAAAAGCTTATTTCCGATTGACTTGCAATGGATCTTAAGCCTTCTCAGTTAGTTTATCCATAATCTTCACGGATGAGATTTTCAAAAGAACCTGAGTGAAGTGCCCACCCTCCATTGAATTATGGAGGGTTTAGTGTTCCTGATTTCTTTAGTTCCCTTTGCAAATCCCAGCCTACTCATTTTATGACCTATATAGCGCATGTGTGTATGTGTGTTCGGAGTTCATCCATAAAATAAAGGCCCGTCAAGGTAAAACAGCAGCCATGGAGGAGACATCTTGCTCTTTTGGCTTGTTCACTATTTTAATCCTCTCTATTCTGTGAGATGCTGCTTCCTCTCTGTTTCACAAAAAGATTCGGTGTTGTTATAATGACGGCACAAATCATGAATTCAAATATTTCTACCAGATAGAAAAGCTGGAAGCAGAAAACAGCCGCTTACAGCAGGAGCTTCAGGATGCACGAGACCAGAATGAGCTGCTGGAGTTCCGGAACCTCGAGCTTGAAGTAATGACCAGTCACTCCTCGCGGTGGGACCAGGGGTGCCAATTGAAACCCAAAATGCCTGTGAATTGGACTTTGAATTTAAGCAAGGGATTACTCCAGTTTAAAATGAGTGTAACAGAGTGGTGAATCAGGTGCAATATTTCTAACTAGCTGAAACCCGCAAAACATTTGCAAATTAAATTTTGATTGCAGAAGTGACCCCAGGGGGCACCACTGCCATGGAGGAAAGCACCAACTTCCCACCCCCATTCCCCCACGCAGCTCAGGGGCTGCATTACATGGTGGCAGCATTTCATGGGAAAAAAAGCAGTGAGGGGCCTGATCTTTTTTTTCCTCCTGGAGGCTGCCTGCATCTCTCGCAGCCGGGAAGTGAGCCGCCAGCAGGTTGCACTGCCCCTGAGCTGCAGGGCACCCCAGTGCTTCCCTACATGGTGGCGGCACCCCCTGGGCAGTACCCACCTGCTGGTACCCTGCCCGGGCAGTCCCAGGGGGCACCACCACCACAGAGGGAAGCACCAGGGACCCCAGCAGCTTGCGCCCTGGTCGCAGGAGAAGTGGGCAGGCTCTGGGGAAAAAACAAAAAGGATCAGGCCCCTCACCACTTTTATTTTTTCCTTCGGTAGAGCCTGCCCACTCCGCGGTGGCGGGGCCCAGTGCTTCATTCTAGCTCTGACTTAAATGCAGATATGTCTGAAATGCCTCAGGATCTTCTGTAATAACAACACACTTACTCTGTCTATTCAGAGCGCTCTGATTGATTGTTTCAGTAAGCTGCCAAGGCAACCAATCAGAGTGCCTCAGACAAACAAAATAGCCTATTATTAGTATAGATTAGAGACAGAAATGGCCAAAATCCCAGATCTCATAATATCTCCTGTATTTTATGAATGGTCAGGCCTGGGTTTATCCAGCATGCTTCCCCTGAGCCTCACATGGTGTCAAAAGCAAAAGCTAATTGACTTGAATGATATCCAGTGGGCCTGTGCGAAGCAGCAAGTATTTGATTCAGCTTCGGATTCAGCCAATTCAGAAGGACAGTGTTTTGATTTGGTGATTCAAATCACTGTCCCAATTCGATTCGGCCCATTTGGACTCAGAGATTCGGCCACCAAATTGGGCCAAATCTCCTCTGAATCAAACAGGCGGCAGCAGCAGTGTCAGTGGTGGGGTGTGGTGGCAGCAAGTGGGGCCCCAGCCTCCACCCACTCCTGCTGCCCCACCCAGCCCCAGCATCCCAGTACTTTAAAAAAAAAAAAAGCCCCGCCCCCACCGGCTGCCACAGAGGCAATTGGAGCCTCTGGGAGCTCATGGCAGAGCCTTCCCATGCAGCAGGGGGAAGCAAGGATCAGCCCCCACACCTGGCACCCACACGGCAGCTATCGCATCACACAGGTGCAGCACAGCTCAGCAGGGCGCTGTGCACTGTCCCGGAACTGGAGCAGCTCCAGCAGTCATCCAGAACCCAGCAGTGCTGAGCCCGAGTGGCCCCAGCTCCCAGACAATGCACGGAGCCCTGCAGCACCCTGCCCAGCTGCACTGCACCCGTGATGCAACAGCTGCCTCAAGTGCCAGGTGGGGAGGGGGGGCGATCCCCACTACCCCACCCTGCATGGGGGGGCTCTGCCACAAGCCCCCAGAAGTCCTGATTGCTGCTGCAGCCAGTGAGTGCAGGGCTTTTTTTTTTTAAGTGCTGGGATGGCAGGGCAGCCATGGGGTGGGGAAGTGGGTGGTGGCTGGGGTGGGGAGAGCGCTCAGTGGTGCTGGGGGAGCCAGCAGGGGATGGGACTGGGTGGAGGTCCACCCATGGTCCCCTCCCCCCTCCTCCAGCCCTCCTGCCCCCTACTTATCAGCACGGAGTCCGGGTCCAGTTCCCTGTGGTGGCGAGCAGGGACCGCCTGAAACTCCAAATCAATTAGGAGGCTTCTAATTAGACCTTTTAATGTGTCTTCCAATTCAGTTCGGATTTGGAGATTCAGCCCCCAAATCAGGCCGAATCTCCTCTGAATCAAATCAGCTACCAAAGCTTTGCAAAGCCTTGGTATCCAGGTTGTAGCCATATTGGTCTGGAGGCAAAAGGAATCAAAACTTATGGAAGAGGCGATCTCTTTTATTAGACCAACTAGATATTTGCAACCAAGTTATATGTATCTGAAAGCTTTCAGGCACAGTCACCCTTCATCAGGCATAGGAGAGAGCAGAGAGTGTATAAATTGACTTGAATGTTGCTTTGCTAGTTCACTTTAGTGGAGGATGTAGCTTTCTGATTTTTTGGTTCAAGCTGCTCTTGTCAAGCTTGACAAGATAGTCTTGCTTTTATTGCAGGTTTGAAGTAAAGATGCCGAACATAGGTCCTGATCTATAAAGCAATACAACTGAACAGCTCTGCATATAGCAGTCTATTGAGATATCAATACTAAAATTGCCATATGATACATGCTCAGTGGCTGACACTGTCACATCATGCCATGAGTAAGTTCTCATGGCATGTAAAGAACTTACTCATAGCATGATGTGACAGTGCCAGCCAGTAAGCACTTATCATGTGCTATAGACCATTTGTGAAACAGAGCCATGTAATTAGAGCAAGGGTCTAAGGGTATAAACAGACATTGCCAAATGAAGCAGATCTGCGGTGCCAGGATGTGCCATCACTTTGTTGGGCAAAACACGTTGCCCATTGTCCCACATATTGATCCTACGGGACAACAGAACAGTGGTCTACACAGCAGCCTGTAGGTTTTCCTGGTTAAAAATGCTCTTGTCTGATCTGCTATGCCTCTGAGCAGAAACTAACTGAAGAAGTGTTGGGTGAGAGAGAGAAAAACACAAGAGGGAACATGATCTAACTTAGGTGTATCATACTTTCCAGGAAGAGGGGAACTGTTGATCCAAGTCCTTGTTCACTGGTCCACTATACATATCTTAAATCAAGCAGTCAGTGGATAAAATGCATAAACAGGCCAGGGAGTAGGGACCAGAATCCAGAGCTCCCAGGTGTGTCCTAATCATGAGGCTACAAAGTGCCACACACAGGGCACGTCTACATATGCATTAAGTGCATTAAGGCACTTTTTCTAATGAGCATTACATTTAGTACCTCCAGAAGTACTAAAGAAATGTGCATTAGGCCGCCTTAATGCGCAGTTATGAATGCATATGGTTTTTAAGTGGCACTTAATGTACAGTAGCCTATTTTACTATGCATTAGCCTAATTGCACTTTTTTATGTGACGCTTTAATGTGAAGTAAAATAGGTTACTGTGCATTAAAATGCATGTGTAGACACATCCACAGGATGCATCTGCGTATGAGCTTTACTGCAGAGTTGACTAATTAGGTGCACAGTAATGCGTCAGCATCCACACATGTTCTGGTATTAGGGTACAGTAAATTTACTGCAACTGCCCTCCATCAACTGCGTTGTGGTGCTGAGCAGCCCTAATATGCCCTAATATGCCCTACCCACACCACTGCCCCTCATTCCCAAGCCACAGCCCCCCAGCCCTGCTGGTGCCCCTCACTCCAAACCCACAGCCCCTGACCCTGCCAGTGCCCTGCCCTCCAAACCCACAGCCCCCTGGGCCCTGCTGGTGCCCCTCACTCCCCACCCACTGCCCCCTGACCCTGCTGGTGCCCCTCACTCCCCACCCACAGGTCCCTGCTCCCCCTTGCCCTATTGGAGGGGTCCCCCAGCTGCCAGAGCTGCAGGGCCAGGGACCTGGATCCTGAATGAGCCCCAGTTGCTGCCTATGGGAAGTGGTGGATGCTGCAACAGAGTAGAGCATGGAGCCTGGCTTCCCCTTCCCCCATGGGCCACATGGCTGTGGGAGAGGGAGTGGATGCAGGCTGGTGACTCTGGGCTTGGGGCTCCCTGCCCTGATGCCCTCCCCTGGGGGCCTCTGCAGCCTAGTGGGCAGGGCAGAGCAGGGTAGGGAGGCTCAGTGCCACCGCTGGGAGCCCAACACTGCCATGGCAAGGTGCCCCCTACCCGCCTGGAAGCAGTGGGGCAGGCGGTGCATAGTTGTGCCCCCTGCTGCTGCTGGGCAAGAGGGGACACCTTGCCCTTGCGCAGGGCTCCCGGCAGTGGGATCATGCCTCTCCACCCCATTCTGCTCTGTCCTGCCGCACCTGGTCCTGCCCACTGGGCTGTAGAGGCTCCTGGGGGGGAGGGCAACAGGGCAGGGACCCCTGAGCCTGCAGTGGGCATCCCGCATCCACCCCCACCTCATGCACAAACAGGAAGCTGCAGGAGCTGTTCTCATGCTGCTTGGCTGCGGTGTGCATGTGTGCACACACATGCACGTGGAGCCTCCCGCCTGATCGCCCTCCTCCCACACCCCTCAGCCCCTTGCAGGTTGGAACTCTGCCAGCCCGCAAGAGGAAACCTGCCCTTTCCACATTTTTCTCCTTAAAATGAGAAAATCCATGTTTTATTGCATTTTACCATGGTGAACAGAAAACCTGGATCCCTGGTCATGACCTAGGCACTCAGCTACTCAGCCTTGATAAAGCTGGGGGAGTTTGGACATGCATTGAGGAATAGCTCTGGGTATGGGGGAACTTTAAAGTGAGAAAAATAAGGTATCTCTGATGGTTAGGTGCCTTCAGGGATAGAGAACAGCTGAGCAGAGGTTTTCTTGATCATTTTAGGCTTCAGTTTCAGATTCCCATTTTTGGCACCTTTTCTTTGCATTTGACTCATACTGGTAGTTTATTTTCATGATTCTTAATTCATGACTCCTAGCATCTAATGATGTGTGTTGTCATGTTTGTGATTTGGCCCACAAAATCTTATGTCTCTCTGATTTAGCTAGTCTACAAGGTCTTTACCCTGCATTTTGCCTAACATGGCTGGCTAACTACCTCTCTTTACCCAAATTTACATAGTTCTTTAAGGGTCTGGTTTGAAGATGGGTAACAAGTATTAAAAGGTGCTTGAAGTTGCAAAATGTCAGGTTCGTTGTCATGTGTAGCAAGGTGAGCTTATATTTCCCTTTATAGTAGTGAATCTGCAGTTATATTTAGCTGAGCTGACTTTGCTTATTGACTCAAAGCCCTTCTTTGTTTTGGATTTTCAGCAGTATCTTTGTTTTATTGTTCTGCTGCAGATTTCAGTTAATGCTTAGGGCTTCATTTGCTCATAATTCAGAGCTTGGTGATAACTCACCTCCTTCTCTAATTCAGAGTTGTGACAGTTCCTTGATTATGAATCTTTCCTAGAGCTTTAGCTGACAGCTGTGTTTCTGTTTGGTTTAGAAGTAAATTGAAAAATCACTCAATTAAGTGCCCAAAACACTAAAATATGTTTTCAAGTTAAAACTGGGCCCCACTCCATTCCCTTCTAAGCACAGGAACATCTATTTACAGACTTTCTTCTCTTGGATTAAGTCCTTCAGAGCTGAGCAAGTATTGCAAAATATTCATATAAATGGATAAAGGCCAATTTTGAATTTGTTGCTCTCAACAGGTATTATAATTAATAAGTTTATAAGAATGAATACTCCCAGGAACAACAATTTTTAACAAAATAAGAGAATTGTAAATATAAGTATTTTCATCAGAAACCTTGGCTGCCTGTACATGTGCTGGTTCGCACTCCAATTACAACACATCAGAGCAGACTCGATTAATCAAGTCTGCTCTGTGTTCTAATAAGAATGCTCCAGCATGGCCTCATCCTCACATGTATATGCTCCTGCAGGTTTAAAAATGGCCACTGGGGTGTTTTATCTAAACCTTATCAAATGAGGTTTAGATAAAGCATTCCATGGCCATTTTTAAACTTATGGGGGCTTAATACACATGATGGTGAGGTGTTTTAATTAAAGTGACTCTCTGGGAACTCCTCTGAAATACCCCACCCCCATCCCCAAGCACATATATAGGCTGCTCTAATTAAAACACCTATCTTAGGGTTATGCTCATCTAATCAAGGGATAGAAACATAGCATATAACCAGTGCATGCAATTACAATCAATCAACACAGCTTGAATTTTGAATATTAAATGCTGCTTAGCGCATTGATTTTTTTTCCCATCATAATTAAATTACAGTGGAGTTGGGTTTTTTTTATGAGATAAAGAACATATAGCCTGCAAAGCATGAACATTTAGGGAATAGAATTGTTTAGTCAGTACATGTTCACCTACAAAGTCCATTATTCCAACACATTTTCATGTGTGTTTCCACTTTAATTAAAGGAGAGAGAAAGACGGTCCCCACCATTTAATCTCCAAATCCACCCATTCTCAGATGGTGTAAGCGCTCTCCAGATCTACTGTATGAAAGAAGGTGTGAAGGTATGTTAACATTATTCTAGACAGAGCATTTAGCCCCACCTCTGTTTAAAGCTGTCCAGCAAATCCCATTTTGTAAGACTCTGTTTTTCATTTCTCATAACTTTAACTATTCAGGTTCTATATCAAGTAAGAATTTGAGGTGTCACAGAAAACTGAGAATACGGTCTATAGTTACAACCATAATGGTAGTCCTTGATTCAAAATGTGGTGATATCAGCAAAGTCTGAAAACCATTGACATTGGATGGCTGTCCTTCAAGATAATGTTAAATGTTCTGTTGCTCTTAGCCATGTTCATGGAACCAATCACCACCACCCTAACGAAGTGTGCAGGTCACACCTTTATGTTCTTTTTGTAGGACGTCAGCATTCCAGACCTCATAAAGCAATTAGACATCTTGGGGGACAATGGGGTAAGTCAAAGTATAAAGTATTTTTCCCGATATTCTCATATTTTGCTAGTAAAACAGGAGAAAATTTTGATAATACATTTCCCACAGCACAGTTGTTAGTCATGTAATGTAAGGATTATGCTATTAAAGAGACTTGTTATTCTACAAACCACTAGGTTACCAAATTGAATATAGCTTTGGTTTAAAACTCATTGGTGTTTGGAGGCCATAAATTGCCTTTATTAATAGAATTGGTTTGTCTGAGTTGGCTACATTTGCTACCCTGGTAATATTTGCTGGCAAATTCAGGTGAGAGATGTAGGATTAAAATTATGAGAATGTGTCCTACCACATGGACTCACGGTCCTACCAAAACTGGGTTTAGGAATTTGTCTTTGTAAGGAATCAGTGCAATGCTACTGCTTATTTGGTCTTGCCAAACAAATAAATAAAAAATACCTATCTCCAGGACTGCCTTATAACATAGTTTACTTTAAGAAACTGTATAAGAAAAAAATGAAGAACATATTAATCAATAATCAAGTGTCAGCCTGAGTTTCCTCTTACATATGCTGATGGAATAACTACACCAAAGCTAATAAAGTTACATCAGTATAAAACCAGTGTTTCTGAAGCAGAGCTATCCTATTTACTCTGAATCTAGTTCTATCCCATGTTTCACATAACATACCATTTTACTGAAGTGTCCAGTCAATCTGATTATCATTATTCCAAGAGAGGACTCCCTTTAATGGTAAAGGTTGGGATTTGCAAAGGGTCCCCAGAGAATTAGGCACTTGCTTTACTCTGAATTTTACTGAAATTTGGATACCTGCCTCTACTCAGTTCCTTTGAGGATCCTAGACATAGTCTGTAGTCTGTGTACTCAATAGCCATGTCTACACGAGATGCTGACTGTGCAGTAGCCTGATACTACTGCGCAGTAGTGTTGCATGGCAAAAACTGTGACGTGATGCTGCTGCACAGTAGTATTAGGTTACTGCACATTAGCATCACAAAAACGGTATTCGTTGGCACTGCTGCATAGTAACTCAGGTTACTATGCAGTCATTTAGGACTTGTATAAGCAAGCCCTAAATGACTGCATAGTAACAACTACACAGTCAGCATTTCATGTGGATGCAGCCAGTTTCTACTACTACTGTTAATTTGCTCTGTTAATTTTATGTTAAATGCAGAGTGAGAATGGAGCTTAGGAAGATTTTCTTCTAAAATACTAAATATATTTGAAAAAAGGATATCACTTACCTGATTTGCCTTTTTTTCTTCCATTTCCAGAATTTAAGAAATGAAGAGCAAGTGGCCATAATTCAAGCGAGTACTGTACTATCTCTGGCAGAAAAGGTACAATTTGTGTTACTTGTCTCTCAAGAATGAATAAGGACTGCACTGTACTAGTTCAGCTATATCATCAGACTGCATTTTGTAGATTCATCTCAAACCATCAAGAGATTGCCTTCCCTGACATAATTAATACCATTTCCCAAAATGAATCATGCTGTATTTCCAATAGTAGATTTTGCTGGTATTACTGCGTGTACCTTAGGGCTTAAGCTGCTACAGAAATTGAAAAAAAATCACCTCACTAACTGACATTACTCTGCAAGCAGTGTAGACATGGCCTATGGTATACATTTAGAAGAACTATAGTAGACACAAAACTAGTTAACCATACAAGATGAAGCCAGCAGTGGACACAAGGCTTTTAAAGCCCATTAAAAGATGTAATTCCCATTGAAATAGGTACTGTGTGTCTAGATCTCCTACCCTGTTTTGCAAATCTCAGCCAATTTGTGTTTTTAACATGATTCATTTTCATAATTTAAGTGAGGATTGAAGGAAATATGGCAGAGACAATAGCCAGCTTTATAGCACTCAGGGTAGTCAGCCAAGCCAGCTTTCAAATTATTCTCCAGTAATGGAGCACAGGCTTAGTGAGGACCAGGATTTGGTGTTCAGGTTACTGAATTCACATAAACTGTCTGATGGGGCCCCTGTGCCGGCTTTGGAATTAGACACGTTAGCTGAACATGTTGTGGGTCACATCTCTGTGTTGTGTGCCCTCTAGTGGATCCAGCAAATTGAAGGAGCTGAAGCTGCTCTGCACCAGAAGATGATCGAACTGGAAAGTGACATGGTAAGCACATGTCTTAACATAACAGTTCACTGGAAATGGCAAATTATTTGATGCCTCTGTGGGTTAGGAAAAAAAGATGTCTTGCTAAGTAAAGAGAATTAAATCTGCCCGATTTCTGTGAATCCTTAAAATGGTTGCTGCTACAACTTTGTTTTGTGGCAGGGTGAAATGGGTTGGGGGGGGGTTGTTTTGTTATTAAATAATATAAATTAATTTGACTGCCATCGCTGATCCTGTTTGCAAATTCTTGCCCTTTGTGGTGTTGATTGTTTGTTGCTGTTGCATACATGGAGTCCAAAAGTTGCTGGGTGCTTTTCTGACATTTTAAACATGCATTCATTGCCGCATAACATTCACAGTTTAAATATTGTGAAGGCATTTACTGCATGCATCAATAAGAGGAAAAAACATTAATGATAACATTATTTTCTTTCAACATGATTTAAGCCCTCAACATTCTAAGGGCAAGACATTCCTAGCCAAATTGAGTTTAATAAAGTGAAGTTACTTTCTGATCTCATTTTCCTCCTCCTTAACTGGAAGTAATGTGCCTGAAAATGAACAAGTTTTAATGTAATGCAGAATAATCAAAGTGGTTCAGATTCTGCACCTCAGGTTTGTATACACTCAAAATTAATTCAAACTAAGGTACGGTGTGATTTAAAACTCAATGGCTATTCCAGAATAACTCTACAATGTAGACACACTTAAGTCTTGTTACTGTTTTAAATTTAATTCACTTTCTCACTTATTCTGGAAAAAGAATGTCCAAACCTGGAGTTGTTCAGGATTATTTATTCCAGACAAGGTATCTTAGAATAACTCCATATGAAGATGAGGCTTAAATTATGTGGCTGTAATTCCAATCAGTTCCACTGAGGACACCCAAGACACCTAGGAGTTGCTAAAGAGTACATTTTAGCACATTTTAGGTGTACCATAATAACAAAGGAGCCACACTTGTTTTTCCTTCATGCTTTGTTAGATAGGATTCAAGTATTTACAACCCTGCAAAGACTCCATTACTGATGGATTTCATGTATTCCTGTCCCCATTAGACATCTGTACTTGATCAACAAATATTTCCCACAGCCTTTGGAGTAACTAATTCATCTTTTTTCTATCAAAATGATCCTGCCCTATAGGAGCAGTTTTGCAAAATAAAAGGTTATTTGGAGGAAGAATTAGACTACAGGAAGCAAGCTCTTGACCAAGCATATATGGTATGTACAAAGAAAATAGCTACAGCACGTTGGCTAATACCAAAAGAGGGCACAGATTTCTATTGGTACAGCAGGATAGGAGGTCTTGCTCATTCTTCCTAACACATTAAAGTTGCTTTTCTCCACTCTGCCAAACCCCAAGGTGCATTCTGTGCAGTCACAATATAGCTTTGGCCTCTTCACATCTGAAAAAGTCAAGATACCCCATAAGAGAAAATCTTCTTTGAGTTAAAAATACTTATTCAGTGGTATCATCCTTCCCAATGGAGTCAGTATTAACCACTGAAACTAGTCACATGCCACAATCTTAAAACAGCCAGTTTAGCAAGACGATAACATTGCATATTTTGATCAATTTTATTGGTGAAGTTCTGGCACAGCAAAGCCCATACTACTTAGTTGTCATACCTGTAGTATGCAAATTTGAATTGTTTATGTTTAGAAAGTCATGAGCAAGCAGTGCAGAGCTACCCAACCCATTACCAATGATCACACAAGTTGATTAGCAGAATTAAGGTTTGCAAGAAAAATGTGGATCATGATGTGCTGGTCTTTGACTTGGGAGCACAGTTTAAAAGTGGGTAAAAAAATTCACCTTTTGGAAAGTTGGAGTTTTCATCAATATTTCCAACTGTAATTAAAACAGCCAAATATTTAGGTCAAAATATGCATTGCCATTTCATCCCAGCTTTGCTTGAAACACACCAAGATTGAAAATTTCAGTGAAAGTTGTCACTGAAATTCCATTGAAGCAAAGCCTGGATATTTTTCAGGATCACTTGTCCTGTTCTGCTTTTCTGTCTGGCGCACACTTCACAATCTTCTTTTGTAGAGGTGCTGTTAGCTCTGACCAAAAAGAAGAATTCCCACCTGCATTTTATAAGATAGCATGTCTCTAATCAACTTTTGATGTTACATCGACTAGAGAATCCAGGAGCTTGAAGCCACCTTATACAATGCTTTACAGCAAGAAACGGTGATAAAGTTTGGGGAACTACTAACAGAAAAACAACAGGAAGAGCTGAGGACAGCTGTGGAGAAGTTAAGACGGCAGATGCTGAGAAAAAGCAGAGAATATGACTGTCAGATTCTTCAGGAGAGGATGGAGCTTCTGCAACAAGCCCATCAGGTAGGACACAATGACTAAAGTCATAGATAAAAATTAAATCCATATGGTTTTTCTGTATCAGAAGACATTATGTCCTTGTCTCAAACTTTGCATGAGAGATCCAGGTTCAGTTATTCAGCCTGATACATTTTTTTAGCTCTTGGCTGGGTCTCTTCTGTGTCTGCAATTCCATACGAACTCATTTGTGAAAGCAGTTGGCATATTTTGGCGCTCTATTTCCAAGAATCTAGACTTGTAACACAAATTTTAAAAAACTGTTATTGGTCTCAGTACAGGAGAAAGTGGGTGAGTCTACATGTTCATTATTCAAGTATTCACATAATTACAGGTACTAACTTAATGTGCTGTAAGTAGCGCTACTGTGCATTAGCGCTTACGCACGCTTTTTTTGGTGATGCTAATGCGCAGTAGACTAATTCTACTGCGCATTAGCATGGGTTTTGCCTGTCACGCTGATGCATAGTCGAATTAGTCTACTGTGCTTGTGGAGTCTCATGTAGACGCGCCCACTGAATACAGTTCTCTGGCTGGTGTTATAGAGAAGATCAGACTAGAGGATCCAGTCTTAAAAATCAATGAAGTTGCCTCGCAGTCAAAAGACCAACATATGCTGTGTAACAGCATCTGAGTTTGATACGAACAGAGCACAGTTCTAGTCCTGACCCTCAAAATATTAGATTGGATTAATTATTAAAAAAATCTAATTTTCTTTGGTGTTTCTACCCTCCCCTGCCCCCTACCCCCAAGTCTTTTTCTGTTCTTTTCACCCAAAGTGAGTGATTGCTAAGGTGTATCTCTGGACCATAAGTATTGTATGTCCTTCTCAAGGATCACTGCAAGTGTTATGTATGCCAAGTTTTTAGAGGTACACCAATACATTGGTTCGACATCAATCGGCACCAATATAAAGAAAATTTGCTGTGTAGGAAATCGGTGTGATGTGGCCGATAATGTGGTCGATAAATGTCCCATGCATGCGTGCAGCCACATGTTGGTGGTAAGGAGCTCAACCCACCAGCTTGGAGAGCTATGTGCAGCTCATAAGTCTGTTGTGGTAGACAGGGAAGGGGGAGGAAAGGGGCATGGGGGCGGCAGATCAAGGCCCCCGCAGTGAGGAAAGGAGTGAGGCTGGGGTTGGGGTTGGGGCTGGGGCAGGCTCTGTCCAGCTGGGGCTGCGAGGGATGCAGGA